TATTTCGGTAAAATTAATTATTTTTTTCAAAAATACAATTTTTTTTTTCAAAAAAAAGTCCACATCATGCTCTCCCATTTTTCGTAAGTAAGTACTACTTTAATGAAACATTGCGTCGACATTTAAATCGTAAGAATATTAATACAAATGTGATCTTTAATGGAAAAAAGAAAAAAAACCCCATGCACCTATCGCGACTTGAATAACGCTGAATTTACGGTTAAAAATAAGGGAGGGGGAGGGGTAAATAAAGTGAAGTATGAATTTTGATCAAAGTGAGTATCAAAATGCAATTAATGGTATGTTTCATGTTTAATTGAACTTTGTCAGCTGAAAAAATCGTCATAAGACAAAAATACAAAATCTTGAAATTCATCGCGTTTGTAGCCGTTTTTGAGGATTTTTAGCAAAAAATGGAAACGCATGATGACATGAACAAAATTTTTTCTTTAAAGTGCCCCAACATATGCTCTTACTGTGAAATTTTCAGAGCCCTAGCTCAATTACAATGTTGTTAAAAAAATCGTCAAAATGGGCAAAATTCTGCATTTTGCCCTATTCCGGGGGGGTGGTTTTTGGCCGTGCGGAACCCTTAAAAATTTTTTTAGAATTTTTTTCTTTAGTGCAATCTTATTCTTATAAGTGGGGTCAACGATTTAGAGGGTACCATCATCAAAATTCGGAGGTGACCCTCAAAGTGGGACACCCTATTATACAGCTACAAGCAAAATCTTGGAAGCACTATTTCTGACGAAATGCCGAACCGATAAGGATGATCTTTACATGTATGTCATCTGTAGTAGATGTAGATGTGCAAAAAATTATGAAACCCCGAACTTTTAATGTTGTAGAGCTTTTAAAGCTTATGTCACTAAAGTCCAATGTTAATAACGTGAGAAATATGTTGTTTCCGCTAGAAACGTCGAGGTGTGGGATTCTACCTGAGTGACTCGAATAAACAATAAAACAATGGAAAAGCTCGTGAAGGGCTCCTCATTTGAAGAGTTGAGGAACGGTGCATCGCTGAGGGTTCAAGGTTCAAGGTCCAAGGTATAAGGTTTAACTCAATTTTTCCTGCATTCTTCCGGCTTCAATTTGTGGCATTGGTCAATTTACTTGATTGCAGAATTTCTATTAATATTTACAGCAGATAAACAGCATATACAAAGTGAGAAGGCAGGCACTGCGTCGCGTCGGGATGGACCAAATATTATTAACTCTTGACGGTTGAAATCCGATTTTTTTTTTAAACTAAGTATTTGAAAATAACATATTAAATGGAAATTTCTCCAGTAAGTGGACTGTGAAATTATGTACATCCAGCTATTCCTCATCATTTACAAATCTGAGTGTTACGTCAAAAATTTGTAAATCTATGCAGCTTGAACACAAAATGGTATATTAAAATGGAAGAACATTTTTGCCTATACACATGCGTATAAGGCCCGCAAAGCGGGCCTGAGGGTTGGGCCGCGTAGCGGTCACGGGGCAGGGCCCCCTAGTAATAAAATATATACATAATACATATTCCGAGCGCCGTTCCGCACGGGCCCGCCAACCGCTCCCAGTGGCAGCCTCCTCCCTCCCCTCCTGGCCCCGTGCCACGACCAGGGACTGATGGCAGCTACCTGGCCGCAAGTATCTCGCCCGGGTATGGGATCCCGGCCACTGAGCTATGCTCGAGGCTCCTGGATCTCGAGGCATGCACATAGAATGCTATGCTGGTAGGTCGAAGATTCCGATCCTTAGCATACGGATATCCGGCTACCAATGTATGCTGGCAGATACGACTACGGGGGCATCCGGCATCCTTACGTATGCGGCATCTCGAGGTATGCCGGGGTTAACCTACGCTATCAGTCCCTCTGCGACGCGACGCCCACCTCTCCGCCGGGAGCTGGGCAGTGTCCCTACCCCGCCACCCGCCCCACCTTGGGCTACCGTATCGCGCCGCGCTCATCGGCTGCTTAAAAATTACGCAGCCGCGGTCAGGGGTTCCTTTATATCCCTGTCTTCACTTTCTGCAAGCACTGCACCCGGTGCCGGGTAAGGAGGCTCCTCCTGCGTCCTCTCGAAACTTTCTAGAATTTTCCTACACTTAAGAGTCCAGGCAATAGGGAAGTTCTTGGGGAGAATTTCCTGGAAAACTTTTCGATGAGTGATTCCTGTGTATTTTTTGACGCTGAATGCGAATTTCGCAATTGCGTTAAGATCTTTCCGCCGCGGGGGTGGTTTTTTGCCGTGCGGAACCCTTAAAAATTTTTTTAGAATTTTTTTCTTTAGTGCAATCTTATTCTTATAAGTGGGGTCAACGATTTAGAGGGTACTATCATCAAAATTCGGAGGTGACCCTCAAAGTGGGACACCCTACTGTATAATATAGATTGGACCAGACAATCTCTCTCTAAACACGGGAAGCGTGAGACAATAAAAAAAAGAGAGGGAGACAGAAAGGCCACTAAAATAATCTCAATACTCAAACAATAATCTCTAATAAATCAGGGCAGGTAGGTGAGCACACACAATAATGAGTCTGAGATAAACGATGATACAATAAATATATTCAGTCTTAAGATCAACAACACATCACAGAGAAGGTATGAGCATATCGCTCCAGGTACAAATCAAAAATACAGGAAAAAAAAGAGAGAGAGGTTAGCAGATAGACGATCTGTTCTGTCGCTGCGTTATCACTGGGTGATAACGCAGAAACAACACAAATCTGCTAACTGGAGCTCCTAGATTTAGAAGATTCACATAATTAACTTAACGGGCCGCTTAATTATTGAAATATTGGCCGGGAACTCAACGGCAATAAAAGAACAAAACACTGAGAGCTACTATGGCATTAAAATTAAAGATAAAACTCGCTGGGTCGAGAGAGAGCAGGGATTTCGGAAAAGCCTAAGGGGGTGCGGCAATTAGATTGTCACAACCTAACAAGAAACAAAAACAAAACGATCTCACAGAAGGTGCAGCATAGCTGGATGGAGACGAAGGAATAGAGAAGTCCTTGTAGGAGGTGACGCTCCGAAATCCGGGTAAGCTCTAATTCTCGGTTGGTTTACTACAAAACAGCAACATGCCAGTTCATGACTGGGCTTCCATTCCGCAACTCGGAAACAGGGACCCTGGGAAATGATTCATATACACAGTGAAAATTTTGGGCATCTCAGTATGCAAAAAAAAAATGCTTTCTCTAAAGTTTAGGCCTGAAGGGCAACAACACACATAGGCAATTTGCAAATAGCTTATCTCACTATGGCTTGCATTAATACTAATTAGTGCGCTAGGTTTGACCACAGATTCGAGCAGAAGGCTCTTACTAAAAACGCAAATAGCTCATCTCAATATGGCTCGCATGAAATATAAAATGAGGCACAAGGTTTGACCACAGATTCGAGCAGAAGGCTCTAAACTCATACATATGAATAAACGAGAAAATCAATACTAATCATCAATACTAATCATACTATCAATGCTAATCATCTCAATATGACTTACATAAAATATCTCAAATAGAGTGACTAGTTTCCGTTTTAGATCTGAGCTGAAGGCTCATAACACATACACATGAATAAACGGGAAAACCTAGAATCAACTGAGACAAAATCACAAAATACCTTTGGCAACAATCTCTATTCACCTACTTCTGGTTGGGGCAACCGAAATTCCGGTAACCACTAAAATAGGTTGCCTAATTGGTCACAGTACTCACAGCGGTCTCAATGAGAAACAGCTTTACACACCTAAAAGATTTCTGAGATAATCAGCTGAGACAATCAGTCAGTATGGGGTTAGAAATCTAGATAAAGAAGTCACTAAATCGGGGCTAGAAAAACTACTCACAACAGGCTCTTAAAGCCAAGAAAACTAGATTGGTTTCCTGCCAGAAGGGCTTACTGAAAACGAGGGGAGTGGGACAGATGAGAATCTGTTAAGCAGAATTACAATCATGCCTGAAGGGCCAATTTTGAGTTAAAGAGTAATGAGAGGACCAAAACACAAGATCAGTGGAGAGCTCTGTCCACAAGGACTTACAGGAAATCTTGTGAGGTAAAAATGCAAACTTTACAGCCATGAGGCTAGTTAGAAACTGGACATTAGAGAAAATAGGCCACGGCGTGCCATGAGTTTGGGAACTAACACATTTTACAGATGAGCAACTCGAAAGTCGCAAGCTAATCACTCACATACCTGCCAAGCTCTAAAGTACAAGGGAAGATTAGAAAAGATTTGATCAGATGGATCAAATCAAGAAATACTCAGAAAATCTCAGGCGTTAGGCCTAAGATGAAAATCTCAAAGTGACTGGAGAATTGACACAAGGTGAAAAATGTAGCTCAAATGATTTCAGAACTTACCAACTTTTCAGTTGGGAGGAATGGTGGTGAATTCCGCCAGGATGTTCAACAAGACGGGAAGATTGGTTTGGATAAACTCAGTTTCATCTAGGCTGCTTCAAGTCTCCATTGCCAGGAAAAGGTAAAAGTCGAAGAAAAACGACACATGCACTCAGCAAAAGGGAAAAATGCGAATGAGGTCAGAAGGTTAGTAAGCCGGCCGGTGCGGGTGGCACGGCAACCGAATGAGATGACGTCACTTTGCGCTTGCGCGTCTGAGGGAAGAAGCGAGTTCACCGAAAAATCCGCTAGATCGCGTGACAATGCTCTCTTGGAGCGGTTGTCTGGTACTGACAGGTTACAGCGTTTTCTGAAATCCAAACTCGTTTTCGAGGTACTTAAGGTGGGTCGTTTTTTCTGAAACACCTTGTATTTCATCAAGCTTTCTTTCATTCCTAAATTGCGATTTGATCCTGTTGTGCTCGTAAGATCTTAATGAAAATGAAACAGTTAGTCATGGTTCTTCCTAAACCACGACTTATCAGTGCTTTGTATTTTTACTTTTTATGTTAGTAGGTAACTTTATTCAGTCTACTTAATAGCTGTGTGTAGTAGCCATTGTTGTCTCAATCAATTGTAATTTGAAAATATCCGTAGGCATTCATGCTGGAAAGACTGTCCCTATCGTTAAAGGAGGTGAACAAACTGTGATGGAAGAGAATGAGTTCTATGCAATCGAGACTTTTGGGTCAACTGGGAGAGGGCACGTTCATGATGACATGGATGTATCTCATTACATGAAAAATTTTGATGCACCTAGTTTTGTTCCGTTGAGGTATGTCAGCAAATTTGAACTTAGTCTATCATGTATGTTTTTTGCCTTGTGTGGAAAAAAGCAGGTTAGTCTCCAAAAGAGGCAAAAATCGAAAACTCTTTTTCGATATCTCTGTAGATAAGAAGCCTAGAAACAGGTGTATCATAAAGTTTTGAATCTCACAGTATGAAGAATTGTGATGAAGTTTGACTTACAACTAAACCCAAATGTAAAGTTTTTGCCACAACTGGAGGGAGAATAAGAAGTAGCAAAAATTTAAGTCATAAATGCATTTTCTGTGAAGGTATTAAGGGTAATCTCTAAGTCTAAAATAAATAGACAACGTTTGGTGAACATCCATAGGAGAAGAGAAAACTTTTTTTCGCATCATGCTCTTTGGAAAAGGGGAGGGGTAAAAATAGTTTCTTTTGCTTCAGGAGCGTCCCCAAAGTTTCAACTTGATAGCTCAATCACCCAAAAAATTATCAGGGTAGTGCAGGTCTAGTAGATCACCTTGCAATGTAAAGTGACTAACCTAGTATTTTCCTTTGTTCAAAATGTTCATATCTGAAGCATCGCATATCTCTTGTGGTTGTTTTTTAAATAATTTTGGAGGTAAATGCAGAATAGTATGCCCTTTGATCAGTATGAAGAATTTATAGTTACTCTTGCCATCTATTTATGTACTCTACTTGTCAGGGAGATATTTTATTTGCTGTGATTTTACTCACAATTAGTCATTTTAGATTGAGAGCTAATAAAGATTTATCTAATGGAAATGATATTTTGCCACCTACCTCATTCGATGGGGGTTTTGGTCGGGGGGAAAAAATGGGATGTCTGGCAGAGCAAAATGGTCGCAAGAAGAAAGTTTTAGGCTCCCAAAATCTCCAAAAATTGTGTGGATATTTTCCGGAATCTTTCACACTAGCTCCTTTCACGCAGAAAACCTTTCTGAGTAAGGATCAATCTGTCTGGCGACCAAAATCGGTTGCTTATGAGCTGCCAGACCGGTTCTTTGGAAAAAAATTGCTCTTTCAACCAGCAACATATACTTTTGTGGTGGGCTCATTTTACTCGTTGTGTCATGTTATAAGAGATTCAGTCGGTCTGGCGGCTGAATCGGTTGCAAAATGGCCACCAGACCAAACTCTCCGAAAATTCTTGATTATTTACACATTTCTCACATTTTTGCGTAGATTGAGTATATTGAAACATGTTTGGTCTCAGATAGAAGATTTCCCTTGCATGCGGGGCATACGGGCAAATAGGACAGTTTTATGGCATCATGGGAGGCACATAAATCTTCAATTAAATACAACTCCAATTTTTTTCGATTCCTCATTTTATTGTAAACTCAGAAAAATATAAAAAGATTCCTAGTGGTCATTCCAATTGTGTAAAGCAATTTTTTGGAGGAGAAAGGAAGAATAGCAAGAAATCATCGTTTTCGGCAATTTTCACTGTTCTAGGGGTCCCGTAGGTCCAAAATTTGGCCAATCAAATTCGCACCTTTTGTAGGTCGGGCATCATTAGGAAAGTCTGGTGGAGCAGGGCTATTCAAAACTTACGGAAAATGACACACCCTACTGTGGGAAGCCTTTTGGGCATCTTCAACCTCAACATGCGTGTTTTTCGATTAGGCGTTTAGCATGGAAAGGACAAAAGAGGCCTGCGCAGTGCGCCCCCTCCCTGCATGGCCCTGGGGAGCCTACTTAATACTTTCGAACCTAAAATATCATGTTTTTCATGAAAAGTTACCGCATGATAACTCAGAATTGGAACTTTTCCAGGGGTATTACGTCCATTTGGAAGAAAACGAGCGTTAATCGCGAGGAGCTTAAGCACGGTAGCGCCAGCCTACCCTCCCCTCCCCCCCCCCTTTGGAGAGTCTGTAATTTGATTGAAAATTGAGAGACGGAATATTTTTAACTTCACATACTTAATGAATATTTGCGTGGATTCCATTTTTGGACTTAACTGACCACGTTTTCAAGGCAATTTTTAGATAAGAGGATGGCCCCGAGGTCCCCCCAGAAATACCCTCTAGAGCACCGTGGCAGTCCTAGAGATATGAAATTTGGATTCTTGTTGGTCCATTTTCTATTCGACTAACCACTTTTCGAAACCCCAAAACCAGTTTTTCTTGGAAAAAGGCCTGGTATTACAGGTCTGGGCCACCTTATTTATGCGTATAGCTAATCAAGAATTTTCGGAGAAAGTTCGGTTTGGCGGCCATTTTACAACTGACTTCGGCCGCCAGACCGACTGAACCTTACTCAGAAAGGATTTTTGCGAAAAATGAGCAAGTGTCTAAGTTTCCAGTTAATATCCGAGTAATATGTGGGGTTTCAAGGGGCCGCCAGACCTCCCATTTTTTTCCCCTGTCCAAAATCCCCATCTAATGAGGCAGGTGGCAAATTTATATCATTCCAGTTGAATGAATCTTCATGAGCTCTTGGTCTATTTCAATCTTCATCAAGCTAACTTACATTTTTTCAACATTAGGCTACAATCGTCGAAATCTCTCCTGAACACCATCAATAAGACTTTTGGAACTCTGGCTTTTTGCAAGCGGTGGCTTGATCGAACAGGATGCACCAAGTACCAGATGGCTCTGAGGGATCTTTGTGAAAAAGGTACGTTTGAACATTCTTACTACCTATAAAAAAAAAACAACTATGGGAGCGAGAAAGTAAAAAACCTGTCACCCTGCTTTAAATTTTTCACCATTAGCTAATCTTCCAAAGAAAATATATTTTCAAAATCTTCATGTACGTACTTGTAAAGATCTCACTTCATAGATCAATAGTTCCTAATAGTCAGGGGACATAAGTATTCCCGTGTGCAAGTTCGTGAAGGCATATTGTGTCATACATCAATCTCTTCGCTTTGATATCTAGAAAAAGAAAATCGATGATGGCCATCTCAAACATGCAAACCCCCTCCCCCCATTCAAGATGGCGCCCAAAGTGATTACTTCAGTATTTGGAGATGGTTCTTTTTGGACGAATCCCTTAATATCAATTGTCACTTACCGGTCTGCGCCTCTAACTAGCAACCATTTTCGATGCGGAGGCTTAATTTTTTATGGGAGTAAACATTTGATCTCCATTTCGAACTCCTTGACCCATAAATCTTAATATTGAACGTATTGTTTGTCATAGCTGCGCTAAAGTGGTGTTTCAGCTGTAAAACCGGTGGCCATTTTGGGCGCCATATTTGATTTTAGGGTTTCTTGAGAGCCATAGCGAAAAATGAACTTCATTTCTGGACGCTACAACCCTGAAAACCTAATGATTGATACCTCGCTATGCATCTACACCCAATAGTAGTACCCCTGAGTGGTATTTTTGGCTGCCACCTTGGATTTTGGCAAGGAAATGACCTCAAGGCTAACTTTCGACTAAAAATTCGAATTCTACGATCCAAAATACACAAGAATCGACACCTGACACGGCGTATTTGGAAACTTCAATTTTTTTCACCCCAAAACCGCCATTTTGGGCGCCATCTTGAATGGGGGGAGGGGGTTTGCATGAAATTTGAGATTGCAATCATCAATTTTCTTTTCTAGACATCAAAACCAAGAGATTGATGTATGACACAATATTCCTTCACGAACTTGCACACGGGAATACTTATACCCCGTGACTGAAACTAGTCATTCAATTTCATACCTAGACATTTGAGGTGACCAGGAGCACCCATTCCAGGCTTTTTGCCAAAATTTCAACCTTAATCGACTCCTGATGGTCTTAATCAGTCCTCTCTGTGCTAAAATACGAATCCTTGTAATGGGGGAAAAGCAGCTTTTTTCAAAAATCAAAATGTATTTAAATTTTATTGTAAAAGTTGCATTGTAGTATTAGTTTGAAGCACACTGAAGGGTTGTTGTTGTTTTTTTTTTTTTGTTTAGAATATTTTTAAGGTAGTGTTTTTTTGTCTTAGTGGAATTTATTTTTAATCAATGCACTCTCTGTCAATTTGGACCGTACATTTCAATGTTCTTTCGACAGAAATCAGGCACAGCTTGTATTTTTCATTTCAACTACATTTTTTAATGTGCATATGTTTTTACTTAGATATGTTGGTGAATTTTTGAATCGGAATAATTTTTTACCCTCTTAGTGCCACCAGAAATTCTATTAATCAGATTTTGACCAATAATGCAACAGTTTTTTCCATGTTAGTAGCTGCCTTCCCAGCAAGTAGAAAATTGGGTTTTTGTCGTCAAAGACTAATTTCCTGTCAGATTGAGAGGGAATATTTGTTATTTAAACAGGAAGGGATTTTCTATTTTTTAAACCCATAGTTCTGTCAAGGAGTGCGTTGGATTTCCAACTTTGACCCCCCGCCACTTCCCCCCAAAACTTTTTGGGGGACTTGAAACTGTGGGAAAACATGACGCATTGTTAGATGAATGAATAGGGCAAGTTTCAATGGTATCCGACACGAGTGTGAAATGGCCCGTTTTGCACGCACCCCTTTATGAATCTTTCAATCATCATTCAAATGAAGCAAGGCTTCTTTTTTTTATTTTTTATTGGGTCTCCATTTTTACCTTGAAGCCAAATTCTAGAAATAAAAGTCATTTTTTTTACATAGTTTTACAAACTTACACCTCTTTTTAATTATTTTTCTTCATTTTTCTTTTTTAGACATTGTAGAGCCCTACCCACCTCTTTGTGATATTAAAGGTTGTTACACTGCTCAGTTCGAGCACACTATTGTTCTGAGACCCACTGTCAAGGAAGTTATCAGCCGTGGAGAAGATTATTAAATTGTACCAATCCCTGTATTTTTCCAGTACACTCAAGTATTCTTTCTCTCCAACCATAACGTGTCATTTGCCTTAATCTTTTCAACCTTTCATTCTGAAGCTAATCGGACCGCGTTAAGCAGAATGGAATTAGGACACATTATTAAGTGATTTGAGTCACTGGTTGATCTAAATGGGCCACGGTATGCTTTATCCCATGGCAAAGGTGCCTGGTTGGGAAAAATCGTGTTCAATTCGAAAGAGCCGTGTGCAAAAACGACATTTTTCGCCCCCCCCCCCCTAAAACGTATTCAAACTTCGTTTATCAGTTAATAATACTAGAGCGCTTCTTTTTCCAAATTTTCAAACCCCCAAAAAATTTTGGGGGGGGGGTGCAAGGGGGGTGGAAGTCAAAACCTGTGAACCTCGATATCTTTCAAACGAAACAAGATCGGCCGGTTCTTTCGGCTCGGTTTGGACGAAAAATCGTCCAAAATTGCGTACTGTAAGATTTAAAGGTCAAAATCCCAAAATTTCATTTTAAACTTAACTTATGTGCTTCTTTTCAGTTTTTGAGGAAAAGCAATTTCTTTTAAACACACTAAACTGAAAGATCACAATTCTGTATTTGAACCAAAACCAGTTTTTTAAATTGCTCGTCTTTTTCCGCATCCGACGAGTGGTCATTTAAGCTGAGGAACCGAACGGTTCCGGAGTTACGATCGATTGAAGTTTCTGCTCAACGCGCGCCGACCGATTTTCGCGCGCAAAAGAGACGAATTTGACTGTTATTAAATCAGATTGAATGTTCAAACTGCGCAAAATGCATTATTAGGGACTCTTGAGGGTTGCTGAGTTCAGAAATTACAGATACTTCCAAAAAATTCACGTTTTTAAAATTACAGCTCCGTACAGGACCACTGAGCGGGAGCGGCCGGTCGGCGCTCAGTGGGCCTCTAAAATAGCGCTACGGAGCTGTAATTATAAAAACGTGAATTTTTTGGAAGTATCTGTAATTTCTGAACTCAGCGACCCTCAAGAATCCCCAATAATGCATTTTGCGCAGTTTGAACATTCAATCTGATTTAAAAACGGTCAAATCCGACTTTTTCGCGCGCGAAAATCGGTCGGCGCGCGTTGAGCAGAAACTTCAATCGATCGTAACTCCGGAACCGTTCGGTTCCCCAGCTTAAATGACCACTCGTTGGATGCGGAAAAAGACGAGCAATTTAAAAAACTGGTTTCGGTTCAAATACAAAATTGTGAACTTTCAGTTTAGTGTGTTTAAAAGAAATTGCTTTTCCTCAAAAACTGAAAAAAAGCACATAAGTTAAGTTAAAAATGAAATTTTGGGATTTTGACCTTTAGAATCTTAAAGTACGCAATTTTAGACGATTTTTCGTCCAAACCGGGCCGAAAGAACCGGCCGATCTTGTTTCGTTCGAAAGATATCGAGGTTCTCCGGTTTTGACTTCCCCCCCTCCCCCGAAATTTTTTGGGGGTCTAAAAATTTGGGAAAAGAAGCGCTCCAGTATTAGTAACTGATTGGGGGGGGGGGCGAAAAATGTTGTTTTTGCATATGGCTCTTTCGATTTCAAATGCGGATTGATTCACTTCGGGCGATTTCGAATTCGCAGAAAGGAACCAAGCACACACGCCACCCTTGGATAACTTCTCCGATATGTTCCTGCCAAAACTTCAATGGGTATCGATATATCCACATAAGTTGCTGTTCATTGTTTAAATGGTATTTACAAGTTAAAATCTCTTTATTCACTGCTCACAAAAATTGTGCCGGCAAAAAGTATAATAAAATCTGTTTTTGTTTTCAAACTAAGTGTTCTGTCAACAATAAATCTGCATGTACGCGCTCTTTGAGGACGGGAACTAGGTCGCCGCTATATTCAAAATTGAATTCTCGGAGATGAATCAAAGGAGCTTGGTTCCTTTCTGATAGTTCGTCTTCTGACTTTATACGATCCTCCACGAAACCCAGTGATACTTGGGTCCTTTTTCTGATTTTATTTTGCCCATTTGGAAGTAAGCAACAGGTAACCAGTGACTAAAAACACAGATAATCAAATATGTAAAACATTTATTCCTCTTTATTTAGTGTCAAGAAGTCTCTTATGAAGACACTAGTCAGTAAAAATTCAAACTTCAACCATCCCAATCGGTTTAGAAATGCATGAACAATAATCCGATCTCCTCACTTTTCTCAAAATCAGCTCGATGTGGCTTGGTTCCTTTCTGCTTAGCGCAGTCTAATTATGAACAATCAAAACAATGTTTCTATTTTATTTTGCCCTGCCGAGAATGAGCAAAGTGCATACAAATGGAGAAAAGGTGGAAAAATTTAAGAAATCTGGTCCTGACGAACTGACGAACAGTAACCTAGCTAACCCTCAAGAATACAGCCTGAAAAGAAAAGTGCTTTAACCAATGTAAGAGACGTAACAAGAAAACTGTCATCAAACTGTGATACGTTGTTGCCAAAGCCAGGAGCGGTGTGCTCATAATTTCATAAGTTTTTATACCTCTCATTGAACCCTCAATGGGCAGTAATTTTAAGATGGCAGAACGATGCAATTTTTTCACTGTTTCTGATTCGAAATCAGTTGATAATATATGGCTTTGTAGGTAAAGTCCTATAACAACTTAGTTCTCTGGCCCAGTTTCGTCTTACCCGCAGCCATCTCTCTGAAGTTCAGCTGAATAGGCGTCTAGAGAAAATTGACTTTAACCTTGGCTAGATTACATGGCATCTTTTAGACTACTGTCATATTTATACTGGTTTTACACAGCCAGCCTCAGTGGTGTAGTGGTCAAGGCATTTCGCTGCCAACACTGAAGTCCTGGGTTCAGTCCCTGGGGATGACTGATTTAAAATCAAATAAAAGGGTGTTAGTTGTTTAATAATCTGGCGCAGGTGAAGAAATCACAAGTAACACTTTTGTGTTCGTTAATTATAGTTTAATTATATTACAAACAATGGCATTACATGCTTGGACAGAATGGACAGCTACAGTTAACAGTAACAGATACAGCTCAATCGAGCAGGTCAACATGATAGCTCTGGTGGCAGATATGTGTACTAATCGAGATATAGGGTGGTGCATACTACCACCACTTCCCTTCATTTGTCAATCATTGCCTTGGATGCGGTTCTCCATTGAGCTGATGCTTTGTATGGAAAAAGAGGGTAGGCCTCCAGGCTGGAATGCGGCCAGAACCCCAGAGGTTGCTGCGCGGGTCTCCGTTTCTAAATCTGAATAAAGTGGGCTCATCCAAAAACCGTCACCTATCACGGTGCCCCTGAACTCACTTTAAATGCGACTTTGTTGTACATCAAAAATTCAAGTTGGAGGTTGTAGTGGGGTACTCCCTGATGGGTTTTTGGGCAATTTCGAAATAGGTTGTCGGAGCTCCTCGAAAAATAATCGCATTTTTGTGGTTTTTTAGGGGTAAAATAGCAAAATTGGCCTCCGGGCGACAAATTAAACCCCCTCTCCCTCATCCTTGCCTTGACCGATCTGAATTTTTAGTATGTTTTTACCTGGTATAAGATGGGACTTTTCTGAAATTTTCATGCCCATACAAATTTTTTTGCTCCCGCGGCAGCGTTGCCAAGTTGCGGACTCCAAAATATCGAATTTAATGATAAAATGAAGGTTTCGGAGTGTGATTTCCATTCAAAATCAAAAATTCAAATTGTAAGTTGTAGTAGGGTACTGCCTGATGGGGTTTTGGCCAATTTCGAAGTAGAGTGTTTGAGATTTTTGAAAAATAATCGAATTTTTGCGGTTTTTTAAGGGTAAAATAGCACACTGAGCACGGGGCGGCAAGTTGAACCTTTTCTCTCTCATCCTTGCCGTGACCGATCTGAACTTTTAGTATGTATTAACCTGGTATAAGATGTGACTTTTCTGAAATTTTCATGCCCATACAAAATTTTTTGCCCCCCGCGGCAGCGTTGCCAATTTGCGGACTCAAAAATATCGAATTTGATGATAAAATGAAGGTTTCGAGGTGTGATTTCCTCCAAAATTTCACGAAAAATGTGCAATCTGAGAGTTTTCGATAAGAAAAGGCATATTTGAACAATTTAGAGTTGCAGTGTTGCCAGCTTTTGATTTAAAATTCGTCAAAATGACCCAAATCGCGTTGCAACCTCGAGCGCTGGATTTTTATTTCGTTCAGAATTGGTTATTACGGTTCTTCTGTACTCTATGCATTTAGGTACCATGAAAATTATGCCATTACTTACTTGATGGGTGCAGCTAACTCAAAAAGAGAGGCCGGATAAAGCGATGAGTCGGGGGAAAACGAGCGGTTCGGGTTGACAGAAAGTTCTTAAATCTACTCCATCACCAGAAAGTAGAATTTGAGAACTTTCTCCCACCCCCCAAACCTTATCCCTGTTGCAGTCAATCCTTTGAACATCTGATCTGAAATTTTGCCCCCGAATTTTTACCAAAAACATGATGTGTTTTTGCACAAAAACGTGTTTTTATTTTTCATGTTTTTGGTAAAAATTCGGGGGCAAAATTTCAGATCAGATGTTCAAAGGATTGACTGCAACAGGGATAAGGTTTGGGGGGTGGGAGAAAGTTCTCAAATTCTACTTTCTGGTGATGGAGTAGATTTAAGAACTTTCTGTCAACCCGAACCGCTCGTTTTCCCCCGACTCATCGCTTTATCCGGCCTCTCTTTTTGAGTTAGCTGCACCCATCAAGTAAGTAATGGCATAATTTTCATGGTACCTAAATGCATAGAGTACAGAAGAACCGTAATAACCAATTCTGAACGAAATAAAAATCCAGCGCTCGAGGTTGCAACGCGATTTGGGTCATTTTGACGAATTTTAAATCAAAAGCTGGCAACACTGCAACTCTAAATTGTTCAAATATGCCTTTTCTTATCGAAAACTCTCAGATTGCACATTTTTCGTGAAATTTTGGAGGAAATCACACCTCGAAACCTTCATTTTATCATCAAATTCGATATTTTTGAGTCCGCAAATTGGCAACGCTGCCGCGGGGGGCAAAAAATTTTGTATGGGCATGAAAATTTCAGAAAA